GCGGGCGCGGCGCGGGGGTGGGGGGGGGGGGGGAATGAATAAAACGATGGGAGGGGGATCCAGGGGAGGGGTCTCCACTGCCCCCTCCCCCCAATAAAAAACCCACCCGGGGGAGCCCCCAGAGAAGCCGAAACCCCCCCGGAGAGGGTGGAAAAAAAGGGGGGGGGGATCCTTCATCCATCCTGAGCCCCCCCCCAATTTGGGGAGGGGGTCCCCTAAATCCGCTGGGCTTTGGCGAAGAGGCGGCTGTGCCAATAATCGGGATTATCGAAGGCGCAGTCCGAGGCTTCCAAACTCCGCAGGGGCTTCATGGGGGTCGCGGGGGTGGGCGGGGGTCGCCGGCAGCCGGGGCAGCGCGGCCGCGGCACCGCTTCCATCTCCTCGTACCCCTCCTCCTCCTCGGGGGGCGCCCCCCGCCTCATTTCGGTGTAGCCGTGGTGGTGGGGGGCTGCGGGGACCCCCGGGGTGGGGTCGGTGAGGAGCGAGCGGCTGAGGCGGGGTTGTTTGTTCATGTATTCGTAATCTTCCTCCTCTTCCTCACCTTCATCATCCTCGTTATCCCGGGGTTTGGCCCGGTTTTGGGGGGCTCCCGGGGGGTCCGAGCCCACCTCCATGTATTCGTAGCCCAGCTCCTCCAGGGAGGCCGGGCGGGGTTGGGGGGCTCCCGGGGCGCCCCCCGGTCTCCGGTTCATGTACTCGTACTCTTCATCCTCATCATCATCATCCTCATCCTCCCGCGGCGAGCCCCGGCAGGGGTCTGCGTCTGACAGGGGAGGGGGCGTCAGCAGCCGGGGAGGGGGCGTCAGGACTCAGGGGAGGGGGCGTCAGGAGTCAGGGGAGGGGGCGTCAGGAGCAGGGGAGGGGGCGTCAGGAGCCAGGGACTCCCCACCCCCCCCGGCTGCCCGCGGGACCCTCGGGTTTGGGGAGGGGTCTCACCTGGGCTCAGCCCCCAAATCCTGCAAGATCAGCCCGGAAATGATCCCCCCCCCATCCCCCTCCCCCCACAGACTGGACCCCCACCCCAAAACGGGGATGGAGCCCCCCCCCATGAAGCGGGGAGCCCCCAGCCCCAATCCAGCGGAACGAGACCCCCGATGAAGAACCCCAAGAACAGAGAGCCCCCAGCCCCAATCGGATGAGACCCCTCCCCATAAAGACCCCCATGAACACAGAGAGCCCCCAGCCCCAATCCAGCGGGACGGGACCCCTCCCCATGAACACAGAGAGCCCCCAGCCCCAATCCAGCAGGACGAGACCCCTCCCCATGAACACAGAGAGCCCCCAGCCTCAATCCAGTGGGATGAGACCCCTCCCCAAGACCCCCATGAGCAGAGAGAGCCCCCAGCCCCAATCCGGCAGCACGGGACCCCCGCTGAAGCCCCCTCCTCACCGCGGAGGCCGCAGTTGGGGGTCACGTAGCCATTGGGGTCCTCCTCGCTGCCGTCGGGGGCGGGGGGCGGCGGGGGGAGGCTCCCGCGCTGGGACAGGTACGCGCTGTCCCCCCGGGAGCGGCGGCTGCGACCCCCCAGGGACCCCCCCTCACCCAGCTCCAGCTCCGAGCCCGTCCCGCGACCCTCGGACGATTCCGACACCGTCCGGCCCAGGGACCCCTGCCGGCCCCGCCGCAGCGGCCGCGACCCCCCGGCCTGGGGACACGGGGGGTCAGGGGGGACCCCAGACCCGCCCCGGGACCCCCCACCCCCC